TCCCTGTAACTTCTACGTCACACTGTCTATAATGATCTTGGGCTCTTTCTCATTGTAGTTATAAATTCGTGCCCAAATTTGAGTCCAAATTCTGTACCCTGTGCTAGTAGTGATGTGATGTGACCTGGGAGAGTTGATAATTTCTCCAAGCTTCCCTTTTCTCATCTATAAATGTTAAAATAATAATATAAACTAGAGGTTTTTGTTTGTTTAGTTTTTTTTGTTTGTTTGTTTTTTGCTATAGAGCACATGTACTTACTGGAGAGACAGAGACAGCTAGAAATCACCCCACAGGGGGTATTGCTATGCCATAATCCCTTCTCCTCCATTCTCTTCTCAGGATTTTGGGCACCCACGTACATGCGCCTAGCAGCAGTTTCAAACCACAGGGTCCAGGACTTGGCCACATATGAGTTTGAGTCTACACCTTAACTACTAAGCCACCTGCTGGCCCCACCAGGGTTTTCTTTTCTTTTCATTTTTTTTTTTTTTAGAGATTTTTTACTATAGAGCGCGTGCGCTCGCTAAACAGACAGAGAGAGACAGAGAGACAGAAAGCGAGAAATCACCCCCCAGAAGGGATGGCCATGCCGCAGTCCCTTCTCCTCCATTTTCCTCTCAGGATCTTGGGCACGCGTGCACACGCGCCCAGCATGAGTTTTAAGCCACCGGGTCTGGGATGTGAACCACAGTCGACTATGTGGGAGTCCAGCAACATAGCCATTACATTAACTGCTGGTCCCTAGGATTGTTGTATTAAATCAGCTCATCACAATGTAGAAACCCAGGCGATATCAGTTGATATCATTGTTGCTGCTTTCATCACTATTATCATTCTTGTCACTCCCTACATATTGATCTTATTTGTGCTGATGTGTAAATGTCATCTCCTTGAAGACTATAAATCCAGGTGTAAATTTGTTAATTTTTTAATGTGAACTAGTTTAGAAATGTAACTGACTTCTTAAAACTCCTTGAATTAGGATCAGCCAGTAATGCAGCAGTAATGCAGTGCTCTCTGATGCTAGACTTGCATCATTAAAAGTGATGGGAGGGTTCCAGATCCATGTACCACAGCCTCCCTATGTATGTTGTGTGTGGCCATGATCTGGGCTAAGGTAGGGGTGGATTACAGCATGAAGACCTTGCTGGGAAAGCAGGTTTCTCTCTCTCTCTCTTTCTCTGTCTCTCTTTCTCTCTCTCTCAGAAGAAGTAAAACTTCTTGAATTAGTTCATGTCAACATAATTTTGTAACTTTGTTGTTTCATATTAAAAGTTTGGCTTGGAGAATTCCAAATTACAGAATTTTTTAAAAGATATATGTTTTGGGACCAGTAGATAGTGTAGTGGTTATGTTGCTGGAATCCCTTGTAGTCAACTGCTTTTCAAGTCCCATTCCTGGTGACTCGAAACTCAAGTTGGGTGCCTTTGCGTGCAGCCCAAGATCCCAAGAGGAGAGTAGAGAAGAAGGAATTGAAGTGTGGTCATCTCCTGCCGGGGGTGAGAGTGGGGGGGTGATTTCTTGCTTTCTGTCTCTATATCTGTCTCTGTCTCTCCAATGAGTACACACACCCCTGTAACAAAAATCTTTCTAAAAAGAAAAAGATATTTTGTAAAAAAAAAACAAAAAAACCCCAGAAAAACAAAATGTATATGCCAACTAGAACAAAGTTGGCCAAGTAATGATCAGTAGCCATTTTTCTGAGTGAATAGAAAAGTGGTATAGTCATTAACATCTGAGTGAATACTTTTCTAGTATTTTAACATTTTTCTCTCAGGGACCAACAGATGGCATAATCATTATGTCTCCGGACTCTCATGTGGTTAAAATCCAGAACTGGTGGCTTAAAACTCACGTTGGGCATGTGTACATATGTGTGTCTAAGAGGCTAAAAAGAGACTGGAGAAGAAGTGATTGTGGTATGGCCATCCCCCCGGGGGAGTGATTTCTCGCTTTTTATCTCTGTCTCCCCAGTGAGTGCATGCACCCTATAGCAAAAATCTCTCTTAAATTTTTTTTCCTCTTGAGACCTTGCTCACACTGTAAACCTGCTTAAACCTGCTCTTTACTAATAGTATAATAAAGCACCCTTACTTCCTCCATCATGGCCTGATCACGGTAGGATTTGAATTAAGATCTATTATTTGCAGTTGGAATGACAACCTACAGTCTGCATGCAATCTGCCTTTGTGACTTGTATGACTCAGGCTCATTTTAAAATTAACTTTTATCTGCTAAATAATGAGCACATCCGTTTTTTTAATATCACAGGAGTTTCATCTAGGAGACTTTCCTTTTTTATTGCTGAAGTTATTGCCCCATCTCCCCTCTCCTGCTCTCTACAATGTAATAAAACAAAACCTATCCAGTGTATTACACAATTCAGGATTTCATTATATCCTGCTTGATGCGAAAGACTATTTACACAGAGATGAAGTAGCATGCCTTTACAAGATGATTTCATATGAGTAGAATGTGGTTTTATATAACATAATAGATCTTTTCCCACTTTATGGGCAAACTAGCCGTGTCACCTTTTTCTGTCTGGGAGCTAGGATACTTCCTCTGAATTTAGATTTCTGAGAGAATATCTGCTTGTATTCAGGAATGAATGCATGCATGCTGGTTTTATGGTATGCACATGGTAATCTATTATATGTACCTATCTCTATGTCATAGGAGAGATAAGCCTAAGTGAAATGATTCTGTTAAAGCTCTTTTAAAACTAAGACTATTGTTTCAAGTTTTAGGCAATACAAAATGCAATAAGACACTTGTCCAAAGGTTCAGGTTCAAATTCTACATCCTGTCTTCTTTTCCTAAACTTCTTTCTTAGTAAGGCTGAACTTTTTCTACTCCCTTCAAACTTAATCAGTAAGTCCTAAAAATGAAGATTTCTTCCAGTCTTCACGTTTATTTATTTCAGTCATATTTAATATATTACATAGATTAAAATTTTGTAAAATTTATTTTACTTATGTATTCCCGAAACTTTTTTTTAAAAAAATAACTGTTTCTACTTGTGTAACATTGGCATCTAAATTTGTTTTTATTAAAAATTTTAATCGCTTGTAAAGACTGTAATTTATGTCATAAGTATTGATATTTTAAAATATTTCTATTTTAACCAATTTTTAAATATATCCAATAGAATAGTCATTATATATTATCATTCATTAAAAGTGAATAAGTTCTTTACCAGTTGGAAATATTACATACTCCCTTTGTTTGTTTTGAATTTGTATGTCCATTATACTTTCCTTATACAATTAAGGCCTAATATATTATTTATGGAAAATTTTTTATCACTCCATTATATTTATTTTTTTAAAGTTAATTGACTTCTGAGGGAGAGAGGGAGAAAGAGAATGACTCTCAATAAAGTCTGATACTATGAGTCCCCCCCTACCCCACAGCCTCCTGGCCAGCCAGGAACATGCATGCCGGGTATGCACAGGTTGACTAGGAAACCAAACCCATGATCTTCATATGGATCCAGCATTGCTTGAGCTGTGTGTTACTGCTGCATCACTAAGTCTACCCACCCTAATTTATATCTTTGCATCAAAAATATGTATACAAATTTAAATGACTTTTTAATTACTCATGACTCTAAGGCTTTAAATATTAAGAAAACTTTCTTGGGTTGGGTGATTATTACAAGTGTTACAATGCACAACTGCCCGCTAAAGCAACAGAAATATACTATAAATGTAGTAATTATTAAATTTAGAAAGTGAACCTTTTATTAGAAATGTTTGTGTTTTAGATAGATAAGCTGCTTTTTCTTCAATTAGTTTAAATGTCTATTTTTCTGACAGATATTATTTATTTCTAGATTGGGACATGATTCAGCATGAATTTTATTTCTGTTTTTCATTTTATAGAGTAAATGCTGAGAAAGCATGCTTGCATAAATGAGCAAGCAGATGGGACTGGATAGAGTTGTTGTAACAATGACATTAATTTCTTTCTTTCTGATTTATATACCCGAGATTACATAGTTATCTGTCATCAGAAATTATTTTTTAATGATCTATCAACTGACAAGTAGATTAATACTTTCCGTTTTACTGAAAGCACAAAACTGGAAGCCTCCTTTCTAAAAGTACATTACCCAGGCATTAGAATCACTCACTTTTGTCAACACCAACACCAGTATTTCAAATGCTACCTGTTTTAGTGCAGCATATATTTTGTAAATGTACTGTGTAGTAAGATTTTAGATGGTAAAGAAGGATACTTTTCTTTTATAAAATAGAGGTAGATGATAAAGTGGAAAGCAAGATGTTTTCAGATACACAGCATGCTTAGGAAAATAAATTTTAGGCAATTGTACATGTGAAGATAGAGAAATTAAAACTTTATTTCCTTAAAATTATCCAGGCAGATGTTTCCCTCTGTGTCACCCTAGTGTATGTGTGCCTGTATTTGAGTGTAGTGGGTCATACTGATTTCACCCGTGTAAGTTCTCAGACCAGTATGTAAGGCATCAGGGAGATGAGAGTGGGTTGGAGAGGTTAGCTATGGACAGAGCGAGAAAGAGAGGAGAGAGAGAGCCACAGAAAAGATACTCAATCTTCAAACTAAACAATTCTATGACTATTCCACATCATGTACCAAAGGAATAACATATTTCAAATAAGCACAGATCACACTGTAAATAACCAGTGAGAAAAATGGTTGGCTAGCTTCATAATGCTGGAATTATAAATAAATCTACAGCAAGCTTCACTACTCTTCCCTTGATCTCATGAGATTTCCAGCATTTATTTCAGAGGAGTTTCTACCAAGCTTTGTGATACTTTCCCAACTCAGGAGACAAGAGCTTGACAGACATCATGTTTCTGATGTGGATCCTAGAGATATGAATGAAAAACAATGGGATTTCCTTTCAAAGTCCTGTCCAACGGCCAAGGTAACTCCATAGCCCTTCAAACATTAGTAAAAGAAATTAGAAAGGACAGAAAAAGTTATTACAAAGAGAAAAATCACTTACAATGAGTGGGCCTCGGTTGTTTTCCCTGTACTTGTTCTGGAAGAAAATATAAACAACAGTGGCGGCCAAAGAGTAGAGGAAGGCGAAGACAGCCACAGTGACGAAGAATTCTGCTGAAGATGAGGAGTCACCAATCAAGGCCAGCTTCTGCCGTTCCTTTCCCTCGCAGGTAGGCACCTCAAATGTCACCTGGTGCAACCTAAATTGCCAGATTTAAGGAGAAACTCTTAAAATAGGATAGACCGAAAACTAGATACCATATATCTACATATTTGAAAGCAAAGTGAGATGTCATTTGGGAGTTTTATGGTATGCCTATGTGACAAATTTGTTAAACAGTTTATAGAAATTATAGCTGGAAATAAATACTGTGGTCAACATTGTTTAATTAGAGTTCGTAATAGCTAATCACCCTACAGAGACAGAAGGAAAGGGAAAAGGAACCTGGAACAAGCACAGATTAGATGATGACATCCTCCTGCTTAAATCCTCCATGCTTTCTCTCTTTCACATGGCTCACCAGGCCTTCTATCATATACCCTTGGCTAGGTCTCCAACTTCTTGCCTTCCTTCTCTCCTCCATCACCCTGTTAGAACCACATTGGCCTGTTTTATGTTTGTCAGTTATACCAAGAATGGTCCTGTTTTTAGGGTCTTGTCATTTCTGTTTCCTTTTCCTAAAACCATTAGCTCCGAGGCATTCCCCATGGTTGCCTCCTTGGCATTTAGGCATCAGCTCAAGCATTTCCTGGGAAAGCCTTTTCCTGGCCATTGATCTACAGTAACTTTTTCTTCAGTGTTTTCTATCACCTCATCCTGTTTACTGCTATTCATTGCATTATCACCTGGTAAAGCTGTCTTGGTAATGTATTTATTACTCATATTGTTGGTTCTCCACTGCCTCCTCAGCAATGAATATCTTCTCTTGATAATGGGGATCTAGGATTTCTTCTCTCTATATCTCTAGGAATATGTCTATGACTTGATAGAGACGAGTAAGATGCTTGAGCAATACTTTGTTTGTTCAGAAAATGACACCTAAAGATATGTTTTGTCTAAGGATCAGCAAGTGGCATAATGGTAGAGGTATGTCTATTACTTGATAGAGATGAGTAAGATGCTTGAGCAATACTTTCTGTTTGTTCAGAAAATGACACCTAAAGATATGTTTTGTCTAAGGATCAGCAAGTGGCATAATGGTAGAGGTGCTGGACTCTCACTTAGATAACTGGGGATTGAATCTCAGATCTGGTGGCTTGAAACTCACATTGGGCATGTGTCCATGTGTGCCCAAAATCCCAAGAAGAGAATGAGGAGAAAGGACTGTGGAGTGGCCATTCCCCCTGGGATTTCTCACTTTCTTTCTCTCTCTGTCTCCAGCCAGCATACATGCTCTATAGCAAAAATCTCTCTCTCTCTCTCTCAAAAAAAAAAATGTGTTATGTCTAATACAGTCATTCATGGTATGAACTACAACTAAATGAGGAATTGTAATTTATTTTACTATAGGAGACAAAATTCTTCTCCAGAAATGACCTATTATGGAGGCACTGAAAGTAGACAAGGGAACCAGCAGTTGGTGTAATGGCTATGTCGCTGGACTCCCATGTAGTTGACTACAGTTCGAGTCCCTGACCCAGTGGCTTAAACTCAGGCCAGGTGCATGTGCATGTGTGTCCAAGATCTTGAGAAGAGAATGGAGGACGACGAAGGATTGTGGCATGGCATTCCCCCCGGGGGGGTGATTTCTTGCTTTCTGTCTCTCTGTCTCTCTCTCTCTGTCTTTCTGGCTAGCTCACCTGCCCTATAGCAAAAACCTCTCAAAAAAAAAAAAAAAAAGTAGACATGAATGAGACTTATTTATGTCAATAAAGTGCCACTTACTAAATTATTTATAAATTATTTATTAAAGTAACACTGATGATAAGGCATTGATGAACATGGTCAATTTCAACTAATATACAGGAAGTATTATTCTTGGTAAGCAAAATTAGATAATTTAAAAATAGATCTGTTGTGCTCATCCTCTTCTAATTTAAATTAAAATGATAATAGCAACTAATACATGAAAAAATTTATGTTCAAATATTGTGGTTTATATGCATTATTTAATTTAATGGCCGAAATAAGCCCTATTAGTCTGGCTGTTTTTTGCTCTTCCCGCTTTCGGATGAGGAAACTAAGGCTTTGAATGATTTAAGAAATTAGTTCTAAATCACATAGCTAGTAAATGTTAGGTCAGGGGTTTAAATCAGAGTCTGATTTTTTTTAACTTCTTCATTAATCTGTTTATATTAAATATCAACAACATTAACTAGAAGATTTTTTTTTTCAAAGCGAAGCCTGCAGACCATTTGCATTAGGATTATTGGGGACCTATTAAAATGTATATTCTCAGACTCTATCCCAGATCCATTGAGGAGAAATCTTTAGGATTATGGCCTACTTGACAGTTGAAAGAGGAAAAGCCAGTTGTCTTAACTTCTTTTCTTCTCAAAAGGTTCTTTTTTTGGTATTGGTTGACTTTAGAAAGAACTGTTTATATAGTCCATTTGATTTTGCTTATGGTATTGTACTTCCCCACAAGGACCCTTTTTCTTAACATACATAAAGGTATTTGTTTAAGGAAAATTCAGAAAAATGAAAGCATGAGTTATGGTTATGTTATAGAACCCTTTCCTACTCATGCCAGTGACATTAAAATATCCTCAATAATTTGGCCTGTGGGATTATTGAAAAATGAAATAGATTTAAAATGTAATCAGGTCAGTTGTTCTGACCTGGGTGATTTTCAGATAATGTGGACTTTTTCTCATTATTTTTAAATCTGTCATTCACTTAACACATGTTTAACAAGAAGCTTTGTAGTTCACACAATGGCTAGGTGCTGGGAATAGACTATGGAACAAAGAAAAATGGGATGCTTCTTGCCCACGTTGAACTTCAGGCTTAAAGAGAAAATGTGGGTTTTCTGATGAAAGTCCTAGGTTAGTCTGTGGGTGGGCTATTCAAGGTTAACTTTTCTATGAAAGTGAAGTTCTTTTTTTGAGAGAGAGATTTTTGCTTTAGGGCATATGTGCTCCCCAAGAGACAGAGAAAGACAGAGAGATAGAAAGCAAGACATCACCCCCTCCCCGGGAGTGGGGTTGGTGAATGGCCACTCTGCAATCCCTTCCCTTCCATTCTTCTCTTGGGATTTTGGGCATGCACACACACATGCCTGGAGCGAGTTTTAAGGCTCTAGGTCTGGGACTCAAACCACAGTCAACTGCGTGTGAGTTCAGTGATGTAACCATTATGTTATCTGCTGGTCCCTATGAAAGTAATTTTTCATCTACAGTATTTCGTTTTGGTTTGCTTTGTTTTTAAAGGTTTTCATCTTAGGGTGCATGGGCTTGCCAGGGAGAGAGAGAAACAGAGTAAGAGGGAAAGTGAAAAATCACTCCCCCAGGGATGATGGCCATGCCATAGTCCTTTCTCTTCCATTCTCCTTCACCATTTGCTGGCCCCTGTAAGATACAGCTTTAGGTTGAAAGTGAAGAAAGAAAACAGAATAAGATAGCACTCTATACCCACTAGGATGGCCACAGTAAAAGAGATCAAGACTGGAATGACATATGTTGACTAGGATATGGAGAAGTTAGAGCTTTCATAAAGTTTTGGTGGGAATGTAAAATGGTACACCCCTTTTTGGAAAACAGTCTGGCCATTTTTCAAATGGTTAAATGTAGAGTTATCATATGAGCCAGCAACTCCACAGACCCAAGAGAGATGATAACGCTTTGCCTACATGAAAACTTGTAGAAAAATGTTCATAGCAACATTCCTCAAAATAGCTAAAAATTAGAAACAACTCAACATGTCTATCAATTGATGTATGGGTAAATACAGTATGATAGGTCTATATGATGAAATATCATTTATCAGTGTGAAGAAGTGAAGTGTTAATAGATACTACAACATGGATAAAGTTGGAAAATATTATGCCAAGTGGTGGAAGTCAGGGATAAAAGGCCACACATCGGAACCAGCAGAGGGCGTAATGGTTACTTACGCTGCTGCTAGACTTCCATGTAGTCAACTGTGGTCCAAGTCCCAGACCTGGCAGTTTAAAACTCAAGTAGGGTGAGTGTGCGTGCATGCCCAAGATCCCAAGAGGAGAATGGAGGAGAAGAGATTGTGGCACGGCCATCCCCCCGGAAGTGATTTCTCACTTTCTTTCTTTCTCTGTCTCCCCAGTGAGCGTATGCGCCCTATAGCAAAAATCTCTCTCTAAAAAGAAAAAACAAACAAACAAATACAAAAACACTCCCACACATTGTATGATTCCATTTATATAAAATATTCAGAATAGACAGATCTATGGAGAAACAGAAGCAGTTTAGTGTTTGCCCAGGACTGGGAGGTTTAGGGAACTAACTGGGGACAATGGCTAAACAGTGTAGATTTCTTTTTGGGATAATGACAGTGTTCTAGAATTGATGGTGGTGGCTATGTGACTGTGCATATACTAAAGGTGTTCAAACTGTACATTTTAAATGGGCGAATTTTGTGATGTATGAATCATATGAAGGGGTCTTCAGAAAGTTCATGAAAGCTACATATTATGAAAATACTATGCATGAATTTCAAAAATCTTGCACCACAATAAACTCAAAATTTAATTCCATTTTTCGTGTCTTTTGACGGTCCCTCGGATCTCAGTAGACATATTAGAAAGTAGGTAGGAAAAGGCATATCCCAAGCCCTTGCATGGGCAAGGAGCATAGCACCTGGAGGAAATGGAATGTGGTTGGGAAAGTGGAAGATGGCAGGAACTGGGAATGTGGTGCAGGTGAAGGGGAGTTAGGGGCCCCAGAGGGCCTTGGTTTGGGGCCAGGTTATAGATTCTCTTATTTAAAAACAAAGGAAACTTTTTTTTTTTCTCAGAATAAACTACAGATAAGACGAAACTCATATAATCTGTCGCACTATTTGGGGACATGAACACTTACTTTCCAGGTACCAGAAGGCACCACAGAGTCAGTATGTCGCCAAGATGCAGTTCCCTCAGCTAACATGCACACACTGGGTCTGCAGTCTTTGTGTGTGATGGGGGCAGAGAGAGGGGAAAAATAAAATAATTGCTTTTTTCTATGTAGTCAGCTGAATAGCAACATCCTCCCTACTGCTAACTTACTGTATTGACATGTAGAAATT